ACTCCTTGCCTTGACTCATTGCGGGAGAGAGAGAGAGAAAGAGAGAGAGAGAGAGAGAGAGTATCGTCCGCTCACCACATTCGGGACTAACAAAGTAAAGGCGATCCTAGCATTTGACTCATTGACATTAATTTTGACCACACGAGATTTGTGACCTTATGATGTATTGTGTAACCTATATAATATTACTATAATTATATTAACCTTTATAAAATATTTCCAGTAAATTAATATACTTTATTATATTTATAGATTTCATAGATTTGATTATTTTTATATATTCTCAGAGACTTACCTTGTATTCAAAATATCACCAAAATCTGTGAACTAAACTATGTACGCGTTGTCTATCCTCCGATATAAATGACTGCATTAACAATAAACACTCTTTGTGCGTTCTTATTCAATATGACGTTCACGAACAATACCGCACGGCCCTTAAAATCTGTGACCCGGAACGATTCAGCCCCTATTGGATCCCTAAAACCCCATGAAACGCTGTCAGGTTTTAGAACATACATACTAGACAAATACTTTTTTAAACCAAAACATTTAGATTGGTTATAATTTATGTGTTTTTCAAATCTTTTGGTAATCAGATATCTATTTTTAATAAAAGTAATGATGAATGATTTTAAAATTACCTGTGGACATTTAGACGACTGCCTTGTGTATGTAAACGTACCCTTATTTGATACCGCTGCGATTTCATTACCCAAGAAAGCAAGTGATCTGGAAAATGGTGTGGAAATCCAACGTACTAAATTTTTGTGTGTGTTTTATAAAAGGTATAATAGTCAGATTTTAAAGTAGCTAAGTCTCTAACTCAATATCACCCAAAGTCATACACGTTGAAAATACGAATTATTTGTCCATTTAATCAACATTGATGTGATCTTACAGGGAAAAGACAGGCTTCTGATATCCAATATTTAAGACAAAATAAACATTTTACCATTGGTACACGAATCGTGTACCATAGTGCGTTTTAGCGTCATTTGCAACAAGTGACCAGAAAGAACGAGGCTAGACATATTCAACTGGAGAACCTGCTCAATAGACTGGAATAACCAGACGCTAGAAATTGCTATAGGGTCGAGACACAGACCGTATTTCGCTGCACATAACTGATTTGAAATTAAGAGTCAAAACGGAAACAATTGAATGTAAATCAGTTTATATACAATCAGATTACATTATTATATGCGTTGCGACCCATTTGGGTCAATTCCTAGGTCCCAAATATTAGCGATTTAGCTCCTTTAAACATATTTCCGAAATCAAATATGTACTGTTCTAAAGACTAATAATATCATATAATTAAGAACAGCTAAGTATAAAAAATTTTTTTTATGAAGAATGGAATGGCCTATATGAAAAATAAATTATTACTATAATTGTTTAACACAATTAGTGAAGTCTCTGACCGATATGACTAACTTTTCGGCCCTTATTGTTTTTTTTATGAAAATATTGTGATTGTGTATGGTTGGGTCTGCAATAATCGTAATCGTAAGATTATAATTTCATAAAATAAGATTGAGTAATATCAGTTTGTTCATTTAGATTCAATCTCTAAAATTTTGTCAATGTCCGATACCTGTTTACAATTTGATTTTGACACAGTCTAGAGAACATAATCACCCATTTTAGAAATATCATTGTCAAATTATGTGTTTCTAGCAACATCATTTGGTATATAAAACAAACAAAAAACATCAGAGAGCCGAGAAGAAACTAATTTAAAAACCTTATATCTCACAAGCTAATTCTCGAATTTGACTGATTTTTCTACCAGCTAACAAAAGAATGTATATCATAACTTGTTCAAGAAGTGTACACAAATTTAGATAATGATTTTTAGAATACATAATTTCTTTTACAAATTGAGCATATAAACGTGTATATATTCTCAATTTCTGGAGAATTAGTGTATTGAATCAGATGGGCACACAATCTAACAATTCTTGTTGTACATTGATATCTTGAGCAAATAGTTTATACCATTATCTTAGATAACGCTTTAAGAAACTGTATTCGCTACGTTTTTAGTTCAATATATTTTATACAGGACAAAGAGGCATATTATCATTATAGGCTTAATCTGTTTTATTATGAATAAAAAACGATATTTATATAGTAATTTTCCTAGAAACTTGACTTAGTCTTTAGAAATAACTGTATTACAAGGTGAGACCTGCTAGGAATTTATAAAACACCACATTATAGATTGCCTATGTAACAGCCATAGATAACAGACGCATAAATTGTGAATAATACAATAATATGATGTACACGTCAAAGCTCGGAAAGTATGTTGCATAGATTTTATAACGGATAAATTTATACAACCAGAAAATGATAGCGTAAAGATAAGAAAAACTATATAAAAAAATGACAGATTTTAATATAGATATGGAAACATAAAGATGCAGTTTTACAATATGTTAATCAACGAAAAATACATATTGTCTAAAGAAAGAAAGGAAATGGTAAAAAAATAACAGATTTCATTATCGATACATAACAAAAAGCTGTTTATCAAAATATAATTCATAAAAATTACCGTGCGAATAGATTGTAATATTATAGTCATGCTTCTGGACGCAGTAAAATATATATTCAATTGTGTTATGCAGGTATGATAACATTTATTTTGATAAAAAATCTGCCACTTCGAGTTACACAATAAGGACATTAATAAAATAGTCAACACTCGGACAAATCAATAGTGATTGTGTGGGTTGAATAATGATATTTTAAATTCGGATGTATATATACTCTCAGCGAAGTTGAATAAAAAGAGAAACATATTGTACTCATTACAAGGGTTTGCCAACCCACTCATTTGCCTGAAATGGGTATTTTTGAAACCACTACAAGAAAACATTTATTACTAAACATAAATTAAAGAGAACAAGCCAACAGTGAGGCTGATGTCCCCCGCCGAGATCCCCAAATAAATAGATGACACATGTTAATTAATCGCACATCTATTTTTTTCAAAAGTATCAAGCAATCAAACTGATTATCAACTATACACTAAGTCTCACCACTCTCTATCAGATAGAATCAAAGTTATCTTGTCCCAAAGCATCGACCAAGGAAATTGCTTATCTCTGCTTAGCTTTAGCTCGATATGTTAATCATTAAACTCAGTCAAGATGAACATCTACATCAAGTTTAAAAATTCTAGCTCAATTAGAAGCAGAGTTGTTAGGTTCCAAAGTCTTGACCAATCAAAATGCTTATTGCTCCTTAGCCTAAGCAGACAATTCTCATCATATCGTGTCCCAAAGCATCAACCAATCAAATTGCTTATCTCTACTTACCATAAGCAGAAAATGCTCATCTTCACCCGCTATCAATGCATTGACCTCATAAACACCTACACCAAGTTTGAACATTCTAGCTCAGTTAGAAGGAGAGTTATTGTGTTCCAAAGTCTCGGCCAATCAAATTGGTTATCGCTCTGCTTACCCTGAGCAGAAAATGCTCAATATCGAACTTAGTCAAGGTATTGATGTAATGAAACTATACACCAAGTTTCATCACTCTCACTTAATTGGAACTAAAGTTATTGTGTCCCAAAGCATCAACCAATCAAATTGCTTATCTCTGCTTACCCTAAGCAGAAAATGCTCACCTTCGAACTCCATCAAGGCATTGACCTAATAAACACATACACCAAGTTTGAACATTCTAGCTCAATTAGGAAGAGAGTTATTGTGTCCCAAAAAGTGTGACGGACAGACAGACGGACAGACAGACAGACGGACGAACCCATTTTAATAGTCCCCTGCTTTCTTCGAAAGGCGGGGGACAAAAAAACTAATAAAATAAACAGTAATAATAATTTTAATAAATATGGTTAGATAAATAAATAAACAAAAATGTAAGCTTATATAAATAAATTTTCCTTGTTCACATTAAACACTTTTCCTGAAGTTATTCCCAGAAATAGGGAAGACGATGTCTTCTTTGAGAACTAAACATTCGGTCACCAGAATATTTGGGAATTAAGAAAAGCCTAACTAGTTAGGGTCAATTTCAATAAGGAGTAAATGGAAACACAGAATTCAGAAGTTTGGAGGAGAAATACATTATAATATAATGCACATGTCCATAATATCATACATGTTCACATAATAAAATAGATTTTTCGACTGACTCTTAATATTAGAGAACGCAGATGGTATCGATGCAACATTATTGCACAAACCGACACTTACTTTAATTACTACAATAGAATTCTGCCAACTAAAACAATGCTTCACAAGATATTGGAATTATATTTAAACATTGATGTGTTCGAGCGCCAATTAGTCTACAGAACAGATCCTGGTCTTTGCCATTAGCTCAACAGATATTTCATTTATTACTTTGTAAAGTTCTTAAACAGCCATCTTTTAAATGAATAATGTGTTTAGCATATCAATTATTGACCTGTCGACAATAATTTGCGACTTGTGTTTAAGCGAAATATTCCAGATCAGTACCCTGGTAACCAGGGTTTAATTGGCGTGTGGTTGAAGCACCGCCATTAGACATGTATTCGGCTACTGGATTCTTGCTATAGCTCGCGTGTCAAGATATACGATATCAAAAGGTAAATGAATTTATTCTGATATCAACAGGGGGAATTTATAGATATCGCAAATCATTAACTACAAAATTTTATCTTATGAACACTTTCACCCCACTACGACCCCTGATATACGAGACATAAATGAAGAGTAGATCTGATCAACTGGACAGGTGATGAAACAAATACCTGGCAGACAAGATGCAGATCTAAATGCGTGTATACATTGCATTAGCAGTTACACATAACACGGTTATACCTCACATAGCAACTAATTTAAGGATGGTACTTTCCCATATCAACCTTCTGTAAAGTCATTGATATTGAGATATTATTACTGTCTCCAATCACCCCAGGCTTTGAATTTCACTTGTACAAGGTAAACAGGGGTTGATATTGTATAACTATTACTCACAAGTTCACTAATATCTGGCGACGATGTGTAAGTCAGGCATCCACATATTTCTACGGTTGTTATTCGAAATAAAACCTCATACCATAGGTTTATATGTCGATAAGCAGCCTGGAAAGTGGCTGGTTGCTATATGACTTACACACAAGGATACGTTCTTTAAAATGGGTGAATTGATATTTTCTTTAGCAATAGGTGACGGTCGTGCTTTATGCTGTATATGTTAGAATTATAGCACAGTTTGCGTTCATTTGACCCGACCTGTTCACTCAACAAGCCTATAAACAGATGCTTTGTCTTAATCAAATTGGAGCTTCAGTCAGACTTCAGACAAAACCAGAACTACTGTAAATTAGTTATTTTATTTTAAGGGCACGGGTCGACACATTGTGAAACCGCAATTGAATATAGGTCTGATGTTCATTATATTGGGGATTACGGGTATATTCACACACACATAGTTACGGAAACACAGTTTCCCGAAGGTAACGTGTCACAATAGAGGCATCTTCCTGAAGCAACGACTGCGAGTTTTACAACATCTGGACGTTGCTAGATTACTTCACAATTCACGAACTTATAGCTACGTTATCTACAGGCACGTGAACAGTAGCGTCCAATCAGAGGTTGTGACATAGCGACGAAAACCTTGACATTGAACGAACCTCGAACTTTAGAACTCAATTATCACAGGTAGACATTTATCTTGAAAGCGCGAGACTTGGTATACGCGACGATCGAGGTTTCTGTTAGGCTCACAAGCTGGGCTTGTACCCAATCAAAATTAGTGCCGAAATATACAGGGTATTACGTGAAGGCCTTGATAAGATGTACGGAGTTAAAGCGAGATCAAGCCTTCTATAGAAGATGCAATAGAGGTTGTGTTGGGCGCTGTACTCAAAGCCAGGATTTTTCTAGTTGTATTTATAAATATTGGTATTATTTATTCTACTTTTCATTTCATTTTCATTTTGACATTCAGGCCATTCTATGACTTCTGTGGAAACTGTGTGCCATTACGGGGACTTTATCAATTTAATATATTTGAGATTGTATGTATTTTGTTCTGAAACAGTTGCTGTAGCTTTATATACCTGTGTTTTAAAATACATAACCTACACTTAAACTGATGCAATCAGCTATTTTTATTTCCATGGCATGAATTACACAGATATTATGATATTATATGTCTCCGACAGCTATTCATACAGTAGCTTATTTTCTTTCCATAGTTAAATGGGTCATATTTAGTAACCAGGTTTTTTGTTCCAATGTATACGTTTAAGACATAATTATATAAATTTGATAGCAAAAAAAAAATCAAAAAATCTCATTATTGGTTTAAACTCTTAAGTAGTGGTAGTGACGAAGTCATCTTTTCAATGGGAGTGGTATTTGAGAGAACATTTAATATGCCAGGAGAGTAGATAGCTTATGTTAGGTTATGATTGCGACTTGGAAATTAACATAAAGTACTCGTCGAATGGCTATGGCGGAGACAATAAGTGATTAGCGTATAAAATTAGTACGAATGTGCTATGGATCCCCCTGTCCATAATATCATATAATAATGTATTGAACGTTAAATCTGCAATAAACAACATCACTATGGACCAGAACTGAACATGACGTAATCTCCGCCATTTTGAAATTGTGTCGTCATATGAAAAAACATGTCCGTCAATTTATGTACAATTGCCCAAGGAACAAGAATTGAGCGTACTTGAATTGGTGGAGTCTTGGACTGTTTTCGACGTTCACAAGAAGAAGAAGAACAACAAGATGAGTAGCGATTAGGGCCTAATTCTTGGTCCAAAATGATGTTAGTTCCGGTATGACCTATCGTTGTAGCACTAGGTGCGTGATGTACTGGATGTTTTGTTTTACCTTGTTTTCTTGTCTGATCAGGTATTGGTGTCAATAATCTTTCACAATCTCAATTTACAACACATCGTCTTTGGATAACTTACACGAGAGCTGAGCTGACACCATAGTTGTTTTAATAGCGCGTAGACGTTACCAATGGACCAGTAGCAAAGAACTTCACTTAAATGAAGAAAAATGGGATGTTAAATCCTATTTCATTTGATTTTCTTTAAGACGTTAAACATCGTAATAAATTAAGTTTCTGGGTTAACAATACAGTTAATGTTTAATAGCCCTAACTGACACACTTTCTTAAGTTAATTTGCATAACTATAGGCAGATTTTCTAGATTAATTAAAATAGATTTGTATTTATATTCTTAATTGGGCGGTAAGACTTTGTGATATTGCTTCACCTGCATATCTGTTGGCACATACAGGTTAAGGCCCGGTCCCAGTGGCCGATGGACACAAAACGTACGCAAAAAGGACACAGCGGAAGAGCAAACTTTCGGGGGTGGCTCTAGCCGTTTTCATCGCCTCCAGAAATGGACAAAATTGACGAAAATTTGCGCGAAAACAGAACGGAAAAAAACGAACGTGGGAAGTATGTAGCGGGGATGTTAAATGGATGTTCATCGGAAGCCAAGCGGATGGAAGTGGATGACAGCTCCGAAGGGGTTAGGCAAACTCCAGACATCCTTCAATATACCAGATACATCCCAGATACAAACGCTTTGTCCGTTTTGAAAACTTTATATACGAGATGCATACGCTTACATCCTTTCTATTTCCGTGCTACTAACGGTGTATAGACGTTCCATGTACCTTATCTTTCCTCTATCTTTCCGTTTTCAGCTGGAGCGGATGTGAGTTGCGAGGATGCCCAGAGGATGCAGAGGGGATACAGTGGACGTTTAACGGATGATAACGGACATGGAACGTTTGGTGCTCGTATATGTCGCGCATTTACATCGTACACGACAGAAAGTTCATCCGTGATAAAAGTTTTGTGCAGCTCAAAACTTTTTGCGCGGCTGAAATCAAAGTGAACGGATGCTCGATGCATAGAGCGTATGAAACACTTATGCAATGAGTACACAACGGATGCATCGCGTTTTCAAATGGAGGGCACGTTTTTTTCCCCGTTTTACATCCTATTTGCATCCGTAAGTGCAGTGGGACCGGGCTTTTAGGTATCGTTTATTAACACGTATGAAATGTCAAGTTTTCATTTGATTTACTTTTTATGAAGCCTTATTGTTTGGGTCCCACTAGCTACGAGAACGTAGCTCAAAACGTTGAAATATGCTAATGTGCTTGATTTTAGCTACGATTGGGTGCTTTTGGTTTCACCTGGCAAACTTGATTTCGCTCTTAATGCATGTAACATCTTAAAAATAAGTTAATTTTATACTAGTAGGGCTTATTAAACATAATGAAACAACTTTCGTTTATCTGAAAATATTTTCAATAAAGTGAAGCAGGGGTTGTTTTTTTTATCAAAATTGATACGGATATTCATAATTATAGTGCATTAGTCCTCCGCAAATCGTATCGGGCTAGTATTTTGATTGGCTGTTGTAGACGACATAAAAATTAACCCCGCCTTCATGACGTAAAGATGTCAAATTTAAAATGCCGAGGAAACCAGCTGTGGTTTGTACCCGTGTAGGTTGGATTATATGCTTAATTGTAGTTGGGTTGGGTTGAAATGTTATAAATAACAATAATGAATCGTTGTTTTGAAAAAAAAAATGCCAGGTTTGCTTATTGGAATCCCGATCTGGTCTGCGTCGAGTTTTACCAGGTGGACGTTTTGACATGGTCATTGAAGTTACGTAACCAGTGGCGGCGCCAGGGGGGGGGGGGCAAGTGGGGGCATTTGCCCCCCCCCCATTAATCTGGTCTGCCCTGTGTTTGCCCCCCCAATAATTTTAGAAAATAAAAAAAGTATTTGTGATACGTTTCGGTAATCTACGGTGAATAAATCCCACATCCCCACTTAGTCATAAACTTGCATGTTGTAGAGCATTTCCGACAAGGAGAATTCGTTGAGGTTTGCAAGTCCGTTCGTTTGACATTTTGTTGTCTAGTCGGATAAACTAGTGATCAGGCGACGAACGGTATCTGGGCAGATCTATTTATCTCGACGATCGGTGCCTGACAGAATACTGTAAGACAGCATTTCCGGCAGTTTATTTTTCAAAATTTTCTGGGGGAGGAATCCCTACTTTGACGCTCGTGAGTGGGCTTCGTCGTGATTCGCAAGTCCGTTCGTTTGACACTTTACCTCATCGACCAGTGCCTGAAATACTGCCAGGTTGCACTCCGGCAACCTGTTTTTCAAAATTTTCTGAGGGAGGCCCCCTACCTCTATTTGAAGCTCGTGCCTTTGCCCCCTTAACCTTGGACTTTGCCCCAGCTTTGCCCCTCCAATCACCGACGGCTGGCGCCGCCACTGTACGTAACATTGAGTATCCCAATTAACTCGCCTGTTTGTAAATGTTTTTAAGTGGTTACCTGCTAATTGGATTATTCGCTAGAAAACAACAATAATAAAACTAAAGCATTACAGTAAGCGAGATTATATACAGCTTTATATACACACGGTGATTGCTAGTAAACAAGTTCATCTCCAACAGGACCTTTGCATTTCTTTGAATGACTATGACAAATCTTAAGATATTTGCTTGGGGCAAGAATAGAAGGATTTTAGTACATACCTCTAACACTACCACTTCACAACCCCGAAAGTCTAAGAAAAGATGAATAAATACATAATGACAGAAGTACAAAACAATCCGAGAACTCCTCAAATAATACCAAGCGTTCTAGACAGATTTGTCATACAGGAAACTCTTACACGTAAATGGAGATAAGGAATGATCGATGTCATGAACGTTGTTTGGGGAAGCATGGGCCTGTAACCTTTACAATCTTTACTATATACAGGCGCCACAGTTTTAATTTATTGTTTTCTATGAGTCCTCTCCAGAGAACTGATTCAAGAAGATTAAGAGCAAAATAAGAAAGGGGAAATAACTCTAACGCTTGTTCATCTGTATTCTTCGGTGAGTTTTCCTTTTTATAATTGGACGATAAAGAAAAGATTTATTTCAGAGAGAAAATATTTCTCTACATGGTGGTATAGCAATTTATGGAGTCAATTAACCGCTAGCGATGAAAATTGCGTGGTGATACCCTATAAATTTGCCATTTATTTGAAAATGTGCCAAGTTCTTGGCCTGT